TTATCAACACAATATCAAAGTATTAGTAAATAATGAATAATGTATCAAAAACATTATTAGTTTAAAGAAACGTGACAGACTAACTGGCGTATACACGCCAATTAAAACTTATTTAACACATGATATTGCACAGTTTACAATAGGGTGGGTTTTGGACTTGTTGTTTCTCCACATGATGGTTGTATGTGTGCTTAAGAAAAAGAAACACCCGGTTAACACAGAAATGTAGAAAGTGTGATTTTACAACCCCCACCCTCCACAAAAAGGCGAAGGATATGTTCAGTATGTGTGGACAATTTGACCCTATAAAATTGTACTGTTAAATAAATGTTAAAGGTGCTCTGTCAATGTGCAACAGCTACACACGAAAGAAAGTATCTTGAATTCAATCCTTGCTTTCACCGGCAACCAATGAAAGTCGTTCAATGTAAGTCGAAATTTCGAGTTAGAAAGTCGAAATTTCGAGTTACTAACTCGAAATTTCGAGATAATTAAGTCAAAATTTCGAGTTTTTTGGTAACTCGAAATTTCGAGTTAATAAGTCGACATTTCGAGTTAGTAAATCGAAATTTCGAGTAAGTAAGTCGAAATTTCGAGTGAGTAAGTCGAAATTTCGAGTCTGTAAGTCTAAATTTCGAGTAAGTAACTCGAAATTTCGAGATAAGTAACTCAAAATTTCGAGTAAGTAAGTCGAAATTTCGAGTAAGTAACTCGAAATTTCGTGTTAGTAACTCGAAATTTCGAGATAAGTAACTCGAAATTTCGAGTGAGTAAGTCGAAGTTATTAAAAAACGTACACCTGGCACTAAATCTCTTCCGTATAAAATAGATAAATACAGAATCCCTGAAGAAAGCCCAAACCGAGTCTGCAACAATTAACAATTTTGCCGTGTTGGGCTTTCTTTAGGAATAGTTCTTTCTATTCGGCATCTTTCTTTGTTGGATGGTTCCAGTATTCCTCACTTGAATACTGTTGAATTACCCTTAGGATATGAGCCCTGCTTTTTAAATTTGTTTTTTGACGTTGTATCTGGGATATGCAGGCTTCATAACCTCAGATCCCCTTTCAAAATTCCATTTCATTTAGTTCCGCCCATTGTTTTCTCCTTAATGGCACACGCATTTTTTTTACTTGGGGACCATATGCCGCTTGTCATGGAATGGCACTAACGTGTCACATTGAATGTTCCATGATAACCATCATATGAACACATCTGCGGATGTTTCAAAATTCTAAATTTTACAAGTTCATGTTAAATGTTGAATTCTGCTAAAGCCGGTGCTATGTGACGTGAACAATAGTTTGTCAGTACCGTCCATGAACAGGCTCAATCAAACCGAGCCTGCAACATTTTTAATTTTGCCGCGTTGGGCTTTCTTAAGGGATTCTTATTTCACTATTTTACCTTCTTTGAGCATGATTGCTGGCACGCCCAATTGAGAAACATCTGTGATTATGTGTGTTCAAGGTAGTCACGACAGTATCAATACTCAAAACAGATTTCAGTTTGATAAATGCTTCCTCTTGTTCATTTTGCCATGTCCAGTTTGCATTTTTGTTCATTAGACGACACGTTGGCTCTGCTATAGTACTGTAATTTGGGATGAAGCGTGACACTTAATTTGTCATTGTTGGAAAACTTTTTACTTCTGCAACAGTTTCTGGAGGCTGTGCCGTTTTAATTGTTTCAATTTTTGATGAGCATATAGTTGCCGCTTCGTCCCTCCGTCCGTCCGCTATTCTTGTCCGGGACATAACTATAAAACAACAAAAGATATCAACATGAATCTTTGAATGTAGAAAGATCTTATTGAGTACAAGTGCATTGCAAAAAATCCACAACTCTGTCTTGCCTAATTTTGGACTTATTGTCGACTGTTCATTTTAACACTTTGAACTTTGTCCAGGACCTAACTCTAACATTTTAAGAGATGTCAACATGAAACTTTGTAAGTAGATGTTTCTCATTAAGTAAATGTGCAGTGCAAAAATCATAACTCTGTCTTGCATAGTTTTAGAGTAATTGCCCTTTGTTCAATTTCACACTTTGAACTTTGCCCGGGACTATAAAATACATCAACATGTTACTTTGAAACTAGATAGAACTCATTTGGTAGAAGTGAAGTGCAAAAGAACCATAACACTGTCGTGCCTAATTTTGGAGTTACATGTGTATTACCCTTTGTTCATTTTTACATTTTGAACATTGTTGGGACATAATTCATAATCTTAAATAGATATCAACATGAAACTTTATAGGTAGCTAGATCTCATTGGGGAGCGGTACAATGCAAAAGAACTATAACTCTGCCTTGCTTAATATTGGAGTTATTGCCCATTGTTCATTTTTACACTTTGAACCTTGTCAGGGACATATCTCTGAAACCATGAGAGATATCAACATGACCATTTGTGGGTAGATTGATCACATTAAATAGAACTTTAAGTCTGTCATGCTTAATTTTGAAGTTTTTGCCCTTTGATTATTTCTTCACTATGAGCATTGTCCTAGATAATGGTTCTTAAAGAAAATAGATATGAACAAGACATTGTGTAAGTAGATAGATCTCATTGGGTAGATGTGCATTTCAAAAGAACCATAACTCTGCCTTGCCTTATTTTGGAGTTATTGCGCTTTGTTCATTTTTACACTTTGAACTTTATCGATGACATAACTCAGACACTACATAAGGTATACTTTTCTTGTCCAAAACCTATTTGGGGAGTATTACCCGGTTCAACCGGATCTTGTAAAGGTCTGCTGGCATTCCATCTTGAAAATGTACTGAAAATGTACCAAAAAATATAAATTTCTGCATGTGAACAAGTGTCTTTTTACTGGGAGTGCTACTTTTTTGTTCATTTGATATCGAATTAAGTTACATAAATTGTTTATTTATATTTATAAACAAGTTAACGAATCGAAAAAGCAAAACCTTGGGAAATATTTTTCTTATCAGTATACTTAACCTTAGCTGTCATTCAACGACATGCCTGTTTGGTTTTATAGGAATGTATATTGTCCTCCGCGGGAGTGATAAAGTCCTTCGCAGGAGTTTTATTTTGCCTATATAGGAGTTATTAAGTCATGCACAGGAGTTCCTTGGACATTAAAGACATACGAGCTGTATGCACTTTGATATAGTATCATATAAATGCGAATGATAAATATAAAATAAAGAAGTTAAGATATCTTAGATTTCTCTTTCAGAGTTGCTAAGATCATCATAACAAGACAGACTTTAAGCAAGTAAACTAAAGAAATAATACATAGACAAGTCTGGTAGTCTGTTTATTACTTTTGAACGTTGATACTGTCAAAATTACTCAAATTGGGGTATAATTATGTTTGATTTTTAATAAATACTTTACTGTTTTGAATCAAACCGCTTTGAAACTGTGCTATTTGCAAGAAAAGGTAAATCATTACCTTAATTTATATTTATTTATAACCATGATAATTCAGGAACTTCGCAACATAAATGTCTTACTGTTACACTTAAATTTTTAGTCTCAACTTTAAATGTCATTTCACAATGCCTACAATAGAATTAAATATGTCAGTTGGTATCTCAGCATTATAAGTTAATATTAGTCAGACAAAAGACCTGACTTTCATTTTGAAGTCCATTTTTGTGTTTCATTGATATTATTAAGTGCAATAACGCCATTAAAACTAATATTATAATTTATATAAGGTATACCTTTGACATTTGCCAAGTAATTGTGTCATATCATATTAAATGAAACCTGATAAAATAAGATTCAGTACGTTAAAAGAGTGTTGCTTCGAATTCGGTGCATCATTCATGAATTCGGTGTTAACTAGTACAAAGTCTTAGTCAAATTATATCTGACAATTGAAGTGATATATGACACATGCGACGAGTAGTTTGGCAAATATATCAGGTAACCGTTTTTGTTTAACAAAACAACATTATGTCATGTATAGTTAATGTATAGTTAATGTATATAAGTTTTTCAACGAAACACAAAAGTTGTCTTCCATACGCTACCCAGATCGTCATTCTCGTGAAAGATCTTGAAAGAATGAACACTTTCATTTATGTTTATGTATATGAAAACCATCCAATTTTTCCATTATTTACAAAACCAAGACAAATATTACAAGTAACTGGTTTACTGCCCTAACATTTGTAAACAACACATAACTTTCAGTCTGTTTTGATTGTTATAAAATACAAATTCATCAAAATATCTACTCCTGCCACTTTTGTGCCACTGTAAAATGGCATTATACTGACGTGCATTTATTTGTACAAGACGTCATTTGTGTTATATAAACATATTGTGAAGACGCGCTTAATGTAAGCGTTGCACTATAATAGCGTTAGAGACGAATCATCAAATTCTACTTTAAAAAGTCTTTATTTTGGATATATGATATCATATTCGTGTAGGTTCATTACTATTTTCATTGAATATGTTGAATAGGATAATATTCAAAACGTCCAGAAAGTACAATTTTGAATCTATGGGACATCGGTGGCCGAGTGGTTAAGGTTTTTGACTGCAAACCACAAACCCTATATCGCTGTTAGCTCGAATACCGATAGGGACTTCGGATTTGACATGTGTGGAAGCTATCCAGCTAGCTTATTGAACCTTGGTGGATGTACTCAGGTGTTCGTTCCTGCCTGAAGTAATGCACGGAAGGGCACTTGATGTCTTGCTCCACCAGTTTAGCTGGAACGTCACCAATTGACCTGTACAGAAACAGTTTGACGTAAAACCCAATCAACTATACAAACAAACAACGTTAAATTCACAATCATTCAATATTCCTTATGTGTAAACGTATAAAAGTAAGATTTTCTAAACGTAGTGAAATGTACCTGTAAAACAAAACGTATTAAAACGTGAGCTACCTAAGTAAGCAAGGACATCAGTATTTCTTCAGAAATAAACCATTTTTATCGACAAGCCAATACTTAAAAATATTGTGATAAAAGCTTTTTGGTTGTTTTGCAATAAGACATTTATATTTATTAGAATGGGTGCTGGTCATTCAAAGGGAACAACGGCAAATTTCACCAGAAAAGATTCTAAAAGGTTTAGCTTGCGGAAAAGGAAGCCGGTTAATCAATTGAATGAAGAGCTCGAGCACGACAAGATTACAGAAGAAGAAATCATCGGAAAGAGACAATCATGCCTTGCCAATCTAAAGGTGAGTTCCCTTCCTGTCATATATGTAAATAAAGTTAAACTTTATGGAAAATATAATCCATGCTTTTATTTTATAATTATAATAATATGTTATTCTTTTGTATTATTGAAAAAGTTTATGCTTATCTTTGCTTTTAAATAGTGTATGTGTACGGTACGATAATGACACAATTTTACTTTTGATGAGTAATAATGCTAAAATGCTTAATTTGCTTCATGTTTAAAGTGATTATTTCAATTTTATCAAACAAACATTTAGACCTTGATTATGATATTATTGTTTTCATAATAAACTTATTTTCATTTGTAAACCTGAACTAATTGTATCTTCTTACAGGAAAGTGTTAATCGGCATGATGATAAATTAAACAGTTACAATAAAAAAACATCGGAGATAAAAAGTCTTTTGGATATATTAAAAGGTAAAAATTATGGTTATTTGATTATTATCCTATCAAAAGAATCATAACAGTATAATTTTTATAACACACTTTTTGTTCTTGGAGAAGCGTATAATAATGGTAATAACTTACTTTTTAATGAAGTTCAGCGAAAATGTCTTTACACATATGATGTTCGCCGTATAACAATGTCGTATAAAAGAGGAGGCCAACATTAGACGAAATATGCTCAAAGAATAAATAAATAACATCACACTGAATGATGAATTGCACAAATATGATATCATGTCAATCAATGGACGGCTCAAAATGTTACAAAACCAAAACAGAGATATTGATAAAAGGAAGTATAAAATATATACGAGAGGAAAAGAAAAATCAAGGAATTAAAATTCGACTAGCGGACATGAAAACAAACCAGAATTCATATTTATTTTAAGTACAGTACCTTAAAAATATAAACAACCTAATAAGAACAACAATTATTCTTATTATAGTATTGGTTAAAGGTTATGTACAGAGATTTAGAAACATAGTTTTCGAAGGAACGAAGTGAAGCGAGAAATAAGTTTCTTAAAACTCTGTGTATAACCTTTAACCGACTGACTACAGTTGGTCCCGCCCATTTAAATCGAGTGCATTCGGTAAAAAGGCGTTACCGATTAAATCAGTTCAGTTAAATTTAAAGTTTAAATTTATTACATACAGTTGAGTTAAAGCACTGTATGATTAATATTTCGGCAAACTTTAAACAAAGTCGAGCAGACAAACTTTGGCGAACTGTAATATATTGCATTTGCATTGACATATAAAAGTTTATTTAACATTAACAACTAGCAAATAAATGTATGTTGTTTAACGATATACGCCAAACCTCTAAGAGATTATCGCTGAAGAGAATGTTAAAAGTATAATAATTCTGCGACTGACGTAGACTGCAACTCATATGCTATATTTTAAATATTTATTTCAAAGATTCATACATTTTTTATTATTTAGAGCATAAAACCAAAAGTTCCAGTGATTACGAAAATGGAAGCGTTACAGACTCACAGAAGTTCAGAGAAACAATAGAGCGAATTGAAAATGTTTTGAAAGAATTCCAGGTACAATGTCAGCTGCATTCAAGTTAACTTAGCAAAGAAAACTATTATATTTAGTACTTGAGATGCATGATTGTTGTTTGGATATTGTAATGAAACATACTCGTATTCAGAAGTTGTAAATGACATTACAGTTTCTCAAAATATTGACCTTTTACACATTTACCCGTTTGTCTGGAAAAAATAATTTCACTCCAAGAATACGTATAAGTTATGCTTAATCACTTATTTCATTAATTTAAAATTAAAAATATTTGATGATGATTGTAAGGATAATAACAGGTGATGGATAGGTAACTTTATTTGTATAATTTATGCAAAATACATATTTATACATAAACTTTAGATGTTGCCACAGTGTGCAAAAGATTCCTTCATAATGATTGTAACGATTATAACATATGATGGATACTAACTTGTATTTGTATGATTTATGCAAAATACATATTGTAAAATACATAGATGTTGCCGCAGTGTGCAAAAGATTCCTTCAAAGATGTAAAACATAATATTAAAGAGTGCGTAGCAATTGTGGAAGAAAATATCAAAGTCGTAGGTGATATGAACAAGAAGCCAGTGACAAGCGACGTTTCAGGTATGTGACGCTAACTAATTACTAGATTGACTTCACACTTGCTGAAATTAACCAACGCAGTACAAACGCAGCAAAAAGCGTTAAACTGTCAGATGCCTTCAAAAGCAACACGCATATAGTGATGATAATGCAAACAATAAATTGTATCCTTAATCCAGAAACAAATAAAATATATTTCCATGTTCAGCCAGGATTTGTCATTGAAATCTACGCATTTTTAAGGCGCAGCCGTTAAAGTGTATATTTTGTGCAACACATAATTATCCTTGTAAATCATATTTATATCATTTAAATTTATCTTCATGTTCTAAACATTTACTGATAAAATGTCTTAATAAGCTAATGTATTTAATCTTTTCATTCTATTTAATATCAGTCCTGTTTCAATATAATTTCCATTGAAAACAGATGAGTAAAATATTATTATATCATAAGCCACCATTTAAATCAAAACCATACAATAAAACAACTCATCACGCGCGGGTACACTCAGCCTTGAGTTTTCTTAAGAGTTTGAAATCAAATGGCAAGCTTTATGTAGGAATTTGTAAAAACGTTAACATTAAGATGCATCGAGAGATCCAATTGAACGAAAAAATTTAAGTATTTAAAGACTTATCGATATTCATTACACATGTGTTGTCACTGCACTACCGTTATCAAAATATTTCATGTTCCTAAAATATATTAACGTACTACATTAACTTTTGTATTTATGATATGGTTTAAAAATGAAAAATAAATATTTCAGCCACAATACAGATATTCTGTAAGCAAGATGGGAAGTTAATGAACGACATACAAACAGTTCTAGAAACTACATTAAGGAGCAAATTGGGAGCTGTGAACTTCATTCATTTGAACGACATTTCCAGAATTGACGACAATTTGATGCTAATCATTACATGTATTGCTGCGACAAGGATTGCAGCAGATGCAACACATGCTATGCAAGATATCAAAAGTAACACATTTTTATTCGATTGCTTTAGTCACTACTTCATTTAGAAAATTTAAAAGTGATATTATATTTTACATGCAAACAGTACGTCTTACCTTAGTTATTATTTGTGTTATTAAACCATATATTATTTATACATGATAGAAATAAAAACTTTAGGACTTCCATTCAGTGCGCCAATAACCCACTTTTTGCCATGTCATAGGATAAAGATTTGTCATTTTCATCGTACATTACAATGACATTAATTCTTGTCTCTATCTAACAATAAATGGATTTCTTCGTTACTTCTTGTATGCAATTTACTTTTTGAACATATACTAATGAGATGTATTTGTTCAATCATTTACTTAACAAATATATCACATTTTAATTGCAGATCACGCCAATGCTGCCCTCGTAATAATAGACGTTGATGAGGCACACGAATTGTCAAATACACACAATTTGACTGGAAACGCTTTCAAAAATCTGCGTGGCATTTTTGGAATGTCCTTTTTAAAAAGTAACGGCAGCTTCCCCAACTGTGACATGAACGAAAAAAGTATCAATGGACTGTGTTCGCTCTGCAAACAACAGCCATGCGGTGAAAAACTTTAACAAAGAGAGAAATTGGAACTTTTGAAATTTGTATTTAAAAAAGCATATTATTTATGTTAAAAACGATTTCAATAACGTGCATATTTTGAAGTTAAGTTACCGACCTACTTAGATACAACTCTGTCCATGGATTGTAGATACTGTTCGGAAAGTCGAACGCAACATGTATCGATGTATTAATTGTTTGTGTGTATAAGGTATAATTATACGGACTAACGCAAAGTTTCCTTTGATTTCCTATAGGTTATACAGCTGTTTTTTACGTTTTATCAGTCGTGAATTCTCTTACGCGTTAAACGTAGATTTCATAAGCCATACAAAACCCAAGCATAATAAAATTATAAGACCTTGAAGTGTACACGTTTTATGTTTATGACTTAATAGTAAAATTGTTATATTTTTTCATTCGCTAATTTCTGTTTATACTTATATACAATTGATAAGAAACAAATATTCGATAAGCTAATCGTGGCCAAAGAACATTTATAAATAAGTTTCATTATCTCATAAAAAAATACACATATCAATTTAAACAAATGATATTGAAGGATTACAAACAACTCTAAAATACGACTCAATTGAGTTTAACACAATTATTTCCCTTCCTTACTTAAAAAATCCCTGAAATTATTTTGTTTTTAAAAATGTTTTAATCTGTAAAAGTATTAACATGGACCTATATAATTACAAATAGTATACAGGGTTGCTACAAGTAAGCTATTGGTTGACCAAATTAATTATTTTTGATAGTTTATCGCAATTCGTCGTAATGGTTTGAGGTATTTCTGCGTAACGGGATATACCTTGAAAATTATAAGATTCTTTTCAGTAACTTGAAGAAAAATTTAGTAAAGCTATTATTTTGATGGAAACACAAAGCTGTTGTCAAACTTTTATAGTATAGTGTTTTTTCACGAACAATAAATGATAGAACAAAAGTCACGGTCAACTTCTATTTTTAGGGTAATTAAAATTATTTGCACAAGCACTTTTCTACTTTGCGAATGTTTGTAAATTCAACATTTCACTGTTTTGTTGTTGTTGATGTGTGTTTTTTTAAGGATTGGGGAGGGTGGGGATTTGGTCGGTTGGTTGCATTTTCCAGTACCGTCCATAAGGGGCTCAATCAAGCCGAGTCTGCAACATTTTCATTTTGCCTTTTTGGCATTCTTAGGGATTCTGTTTTTTTTATTCTATTGAATGTGTTTAAACCATTGTTAGCGGTATTTTGCGTGAAAAAATCATAGTGAAAGGTAAATGTGAAAATGTGTGTATTATGTAAGTACAAATGTTCAGCATTATTGACCGAACTAAATGCTTGCTACTTCCGTGGTTGCTTTGTAACGTGTCGCATTTTACTTCGCTTTCAACGAAGCCGAAACCTAAAAAAATAACAGTGACGAAATTGTCGTACTTTCACCAGGGACCCCATGCGAAGATACACGGATACAACAAAGGGGTAAAATTTTCGTATTCGTTTGTTTTGCCTGGCACCCCGCGGGTATGAAATGTGACAAAGTATTGACTTTGTCCGAGGCTTATTTCGAAAACACGATAATACAACAAAGGGTTTTTTTGCCTGGCGCCACCGCAGATTAATAAAACAAAAATGCGGCTGTGGTATATTCGTGTTTTCGCCTTGCTACCCCAGGAACGTCTGAAACACAAAATGGTTACTTATCATATTATCGTGTTTTCGCCTAGCGCACCGAAAAGTGAAAATATAAAATGTTGACTGTCGTAATTTCGTTCACGCAACGCGGTGCAAAACTACGACATGGCACAAATCAACCCCTTTAATGATACACATGTTGATTATAAATAATAAAGTATTTTACTTGAACTGTGCTAAAAGGTCAAAGGGCAACTCATATCCAGATGTATGTTAATTTAAAGATTGGGTTTGGTTAGATCTTATACCAGGAAATCTCAGAATTTACATAAGTAAAATACGTCTGTCTTCACATACATTACTGATACAAACCTGGCGTTATGGTATAAACAGAATTCCTAGAAATGAATGATATTGTATATATTCTAACCTTCGTGATATCGAAGATGAGTACCATTTTATATTAGTTTGTACCTGTTTTCTTGAAATTGTTAAATATATATATAAAGAGATATAACTATGTTAGACCAAGAATGTTCAAATTTATTGAATTGTTAAATTGTAATAATAAGAAAATATTTTGTAACTTGGCTTACTATATCAGAGATGCTATGACTAAGATAACATCCATGTCTTATAATATGTAATAATGAATGGTTAATCCTCTATGTAGGAAGTAAACAGAAGTTTTCATGTTGTATTCTCTATGTATATTTTCATTGTTAATAGTATGTATGTTAAGGTATATAGCTATATTTATGTACATTAACTGTCATGTGACTATTGTATATTATTTTTAAATTGTACAAATTGTAAGATGATGTACCATGTACAAGTCTTGAATAAAATTTCTGTTCTGTTCTGTCATGGGGCAATCTTTTGCACGAGTTGATAGCATGTGCAAAACTCGGGACCCGATATAATTTCTTGTACATATCACGTGTAAAATTGTATTTTTGCTTTTCGTTAGTTTACTTTTGATTCACTCAAGGATTTTTGACACTAATGAGCATTAATAAAAATAATAGTTGAATAGAAAATAGTTGTGTTACTTGTTTTCTTTTCTAGATAGTACAAGACACACCGTCTTTTCACATTTGTTTAGTATCACATCCCCTCTATGCATTTATTCCCAAATTCAAATCAATATTGCATATCTTTATGAATTTTGTTTACAATATAAAATGAAGTATTTTATTTTAAATCATTTACATTATTCTTTCGTTTCGAACCCACGCCATCAACAGATTGATGTTAAGTAACAAGCGATCTTTGGTTCAAACAAATTATTTGATTACAAAAAGAAACAAACAAAAACAACAACAAGAAAAACAAAACAAACAACAAGAAAAACAAAACAAAAACAGTAGAATTGATGCTATTAAAATAAACTCCGATCTTACAAATGTCTCGAAATAACAACAATTAGAAGTATTCAGCATGTTAGGATGAATATAATTTCATTTATATTGGAGTATTTTGGCCGTTCGAAACGCAAATACTGTACGATTGAAGGACAGACAGACTTGACACCTCCATAACAATTAACTTAATCATAGTTATATGATGCAGTATCTTCTTTCTGAAGAGTATTCATTTTGAGTGTGGAGACAGAGTTTCAATAGGACGTAGGTTTAAACCCGTAAGATGTATTTTTGTCTTTTTCTTCTCTTTATCAGATTACGATTTCTTTCTAAATTTATATCTAACATTTGTAATGAAAAATGTATGAAATAAGATGATTAAAATTTAAAACAAGCAAAGTAATTTTTTTTACATTTGCACAAATATTAAGAAAATATAGTTTCTAGATAATCATTATTATTTTTTGTTTT